GTTTTTTTTGTTTTTTTTTTCTTGTTTGCTGATGTCCTTTACCTTGGTTTTCTGTGGCTGCGCTGTGGGATTTTTTTTTTTTATTTTCTGCGTGTCTTGCGTTTCTGGGTGAAAGAAAAGGAAATCAGGCCCATGTGACGACAGCTTTTGGGACAAATGGGTGGGTAATTTTTCCTGTGAAAACTAATTTTTACTGGAGGTTTTTTTTGAGCGGATGATGAAAAACATTTTTTGGCTCGGGTAATGACGCAGTTTTTTCTAAACGGACAAACAAATTTTTTACGGATAAATAAGAACGACAGAGAGTAAAAAAATTCTCGATGCCTTACGTTGTTTCGAGTCCAATGAGAGATAAAATTGAGGAATTTTTGAAAATTATTCTTTTTTTAACAGATCATAAGCTTACCCTTTCAAATTTTGCATTAAAAAATCTGTTTTTCTGCAGATTTGGGGCTACTGATATTGTCCCCATTAAAAAAAAAAAAAAAAAAAAAAAAAACTTACTCCTTAGCCGTCCGACAAGCGCCTGGTACGAGACCTTCTCGTTTTTCCGCAATTCTTAACTCTTGTCCAGAAATGTTGTTCTCGTAAGGCTCCTCTGATGCTAAAGAATCACGGACCTACACAATACATCAGGTTTCAACCATTTAATCAGAATTTGAATATTACTGTTTCTAAATCCAACAATTGTTGCTTTTATGGTATAGGTGAGAAAAATGTTTGACGAATGTAAAACCGTGAAATACCAACTTTTTCAACAGCTTTAAAAACTCGGATGAGATTTCTTCCCGCAAGTTTTTCGAGATCCTCTTTACTCCACTTTGGCTCGCCCTCTTTCCGAGCATACAGTCGATCGAACAGTGCCGGATACTTGGAGACATCCTCGAGTCCTTCGGGCGCGCTGGGCAGTTGAAAAAAAATTATTAATATTTAGTATTGTGTCTAACGAGATACTTTGCGAAAAAAAATAAAAAATTTGATCGTAAACAAAAAAATTTTTTTTTCAAGTTATTTAAAGAATTTTTAGTTTTTGTAAGCTAAATTTAGTAAATTAAGTATCCTTATTGGCTAACTCTATAATTATAAATACATTCCAGTACACTATAAAATTTACTTTTCGACTCCATCGTAATCGGCGCCAATACCAACATGATCCACTCCAATGAGATTTCTAACGTAGTTTATGTGCGCTGAAAATAATATACATGTAACCGATCAAATCAATTCGTAGCTTTTTTGGTACTGATTCTTACCAACGACATCGTCAATCGTAGCATTTCTCGTTTTATCACAGTTAACAAAGTCATTGAAGAAATTGATCATCACAATCCCCTCGTTCTCTTTCTGTGGGTAAGTAAGTAAAAAATTAACATAATTGACAATCCAAATTCTACAACCTTCCACACATAAATGTACTCACTACTTTGAGTAGGACGTCGTTGGGGACATTCCTGTAGTTGTTGCAAATGGCATAAGCCGATGAGTGAGAAAAAATAATTGGAGCCCTCGTGACATTTAGCACGTCCCTCATGACGTTGTGGGATACGTGCGAGAGATCGGCAAGCATACCGAGGCGATTCATTTCCCATACGACGTACTGATGGAAAAATTATCAGTTGATTGCGACTATGCGTCTTAAAACATTTTTATTTCTCGATGTTCGTGCTAATAAATTGAAGAATCACCTTTCCGAATTCAGTCAAGTTGTAGACGGGTTTGTCAGTCCACGGTGATGCATCGGCCCTAGAGAAAGAGTATACACAAAAATTAATGATGTCGTGAAAAGTACCCCAGAAAAATTTTTATTTCTAATGCAGCAGAAACGTACCATGGGGTGTTGCAGGAATGGGTCAGAGTTACGTAGCGCACTCCGAGTTCGTAGTAGAGCCGCAAAACCCCCAAGTTGGAATCAAGAGAATGTCCTCCTTCGACGCCAATGAGGGAAGCAAGTTTTCCATTTTTCCATGACGTTTCTATGTTGTCAGCTGCAGTCACGAGTTCCAAGTTTTTCGGGTATTTGTTCACCAGCCGCTTGATCACGTCTATTTGACGGAGCGTCAGCGTCACCGCGTCTTTGTATTGAGATTGGCAAGAAACGAAAGCCACCCAAAACTGTGAAGATTTTAAAAAGTTTTTTTTTTTTTTTTTTTTTTTCCGTCAACAAAGTTTTGTAAAAGCTCTATAAATGTGGATTTTGAACTATTAATAAGAAGTCAGAAATCTAATTTAAATTATGTGTCTTGTTGACAATGTAGCTGTCTTTATTTTATATTAATTGATATGCACATAAATTTTGTCGATTTGAATCTAGTATTACTAAACTAATCACTCAATCATACTCGTAGTGGACTGAAGTTACTCTTAATTGGTGGGAAACATTTTACGTACCAACTCGTCATTGGTGGGAGTTTTTTTCGTTGAGAAAATTATTCATTTTACTTAAGTGAAGCAATGTACTTTTCACTACAAATTTAATTTATTAAAGCTATTTTTTGTTTATTAAACAACTTACATGTGCTGTTATTTTAAAAAATTTCTCATAATTTTTTCGATCCATATGAATTCAATTATTTTTAAACAATTTTCATAAAATTGTTTAATCCTTATAAATAACTAAAGATATATTTCAAAGTTTTTAATACTATCAAAAATTTTATACGGAAACCCTTCGTTTGCTTAACTGGTTAAAAAAACACGAAAGAACATCAGCTTTAAAAAACTTAAATTAATTAACAGTCTGTGAAGTAAGTTATTTTTCGATTAATCTACTCGCTCTATAGAAACAGCATGCTGAGTATAGTATTCATAAAGATAAGTTTTTTATACACAAAATAAACAACTTATAATAAGTATTACTTAAACGTATTAGATTTACATTTCAGTAAGCGTTTTAAAAAATTACTATCGGTAAAGATTTTGTCTTCATACTTTACTAGTTAGATAAATTTATAAAAATACTAATTTATTATTCAATAATTATTTCTGTTTTATTCGTTAGTTAGAATTAATTCTAGCAATAAATATAGTTTGGGCCCAAGTGTTTTGTAGTAAATTGCGAACCCCATTTTTCTACCGAGGGTGCACTAAATGTCCAAATGTTAAAAAAAAACGCCCAAGGTAGGAAAAAGAATTTTTTAACTTTTTTTAAATGCCTAATCTTTACGTACAGACATCCACTCAACATTTATTATTACAAAACTTTTTTTGCTTAAACTTTTTCTTCAAATACTGAGAAATAACTGGAAAATATCAGTTTTCAAATTTACTTTTTAATAAAAAGTCATAAAACGAACTTTGTCCAAACTAACTGGATTAACGACTCTCTACGTGTATCAACACAAGGTGTTGTAGGAAAGCAATAAAAAATAATTCCGTTAATGCACAGGTCAACCAATAATAGGATTATTAGGTAAAACAGTTATACTAGACAATAGGCTTGTCTTTCTTACCGTGAAAGCGAATGAAAAAATGGGTTGCAGGATTGCTTTAATCAATGATGACGCAATTAATTTAGCTGCCACAAAAAATTTTCAATCTTTAATTTAACTTTTGAATCCTACAGAAGTTTCCTCTACTTTATGTGGTGAGTATCTTTATGAAATTTATTTTAAATAATTTTAGGTGCTCCTGATTTTTTTATCTCTCGTTATTCCAATAAAAATATACTGATTTTTACTTTCAAGCGTATGTGCCGTAGTGTTTTGAATAGATGAATATTTTGTTGTAAGAAAGCGATTGATAAAGTAGTCATTAAAATACCCGAGAACTTAGTAAACTAATTATTTTTATTGAACTATACTACATACTCGTCAGCGATCCGATATAGCTTGATTTTTCAGAGTCAAGCGTGACATCATTGTAAAAGGTAATTTAAAAGATAATTTAATGATGTGTACCATTATGGACAAGTTTTATTTTTTCTTCATTACGTGCGAAAGGACTGAAAGGATAACTTACTTGCTGACATTCTACTATGCGATTAACTTACGTTTAAATAATTTGGATGCAGTATTAGTCCCATATAAGGGGATTTTTAAATTAGACAGTGAATTGGCAAATATTCTCGCTTCTTGCAACAGTAAATTAGATGAACTGAAAGAAAAAAAAATTGGTATTAAATCAATGTTTGATTTACTCATGATGCCACTAGATTTTCTCGTCGAACTGTTGAATAATCCAGATTATCTTGACGAATGCCAAAAAATTTTCTCAGCCCTTGACAATAAAACTGTGCTTGAGTATTACGAATATGCGATTAAAACTCGCCTCGATTTGGCAATCGAAAAGAGACAGTTAATGGATGTTGCAAAAGATTGTTTGAACTGGGCTCTTCAAGATATTTTGATACCAATGAAGATTTANATATGAATTCAATTATTTTTAAACAATTTTCATAAAATTGTTTAATCCTTATAAATAACTAAAGATATATTTCAAAGTTTTTAATACTATCAAAAATTTTATACGGAAACCCTTCGTTTGCTTAACTGGTTAAAAAAACACGAAAGAACATCAGCTTTAAAAAACTTAAATTAATTAACAGTCTGTGAAGTAAGTTATTTTTCGATTAATCTACTCGCTCTATAGAAACAGCATGCTGAGTATAGTATTCATAAAGATAAGTTTTTTATACACAAAATAAACAACTTATAATAAGTATTACTTAAACGTATTAGATTTACATTTCAGTAAGCGTTTTAAAAAATTACTATCGGTAAAGATTTTGTCTTCATACTTTACTAGTTAGATAAATTTATAAAAATACTAATTTATTATTCAATAATTATTTCTGTTTTATTCGTTAGTTAGAATTAATTCTAGCAATAAATATAGTTTTAAGTAATTTTTAAGTTTTACAATTTTCAAAAATTAAAAAGCGTTGTTGTATATTAATGTGCTTTTATTTAATATTTTTTTCCAATAATTTACTAGTTGGAAAAAATTTTTCGTATATTTTTATGAAAAATTTATTTTCAAAAAATATTCAAATTAAATCAAGGATATATTTGTACTTATTTAAAATTAGTTTAATTGAAAAAAATATATTTAACGATATAAAAGTAAATTAATGTTCTTTGGTTCAAATAATTTGATTGATCAGCGATGCGATAAGAATAGCACTTAAACCCGACACAACAACTAGTTGTAATGACTCTTTTAAGAAGACCCTTAATTATTGTTATTTATGATTAGTTTAATTTATTCCTACATTTATTAGTTTTGAGCATCTTCTCATTAATCACTAACAGGTATCTACAATTAATAATAAATAATTTAAATTCATAAAAATGAGATGGTTGGCAAGGTACTCTCATTGGTATACTGAATTTTCAGATGTAATGTTTCCATTAATATATACTTATTCAACTCGTATTTACCTGAGCTCCAACCATTCCAGCTGATAAACGCGGCAGGTCTGTCCTACATGATTTACAGACCTTTAGTCCCCAGACCTTGTCCTCTGTGAGGTTCTTTTCAAATGGAAACTTGCTCAATTCATCGTTTGCGATGGAATACAGAGTATATGGTAAATCGTTGTGTCTGAAAATTCAAAAATTTCTCTCCCTCAATCATCGCACAGTAGATATTACGCGATAATGGCATAAATTCATATGTTTGTGTGATTAATAAAATTTTATAGTTTTATCACCCTGATATTGCTACATTTAATAGTAAGCCTGGTAGAAAAGTCATTTATTTTACATAACAATGCATTTTTTAAAAGATGTTTTCTGATTTAATCTAATATTTAAACATGCCAAGAGATTAGTACAAAGCTTTTCAAACAGAGTGATAGCCATCCAAACTAGAGCAGCTTGAATAACAGTTAAATTAATGTAGTACTTCATCCATACTCTAAAAATTATTTATTCACTTTACATTGTAACGAAATTGGAAATTTTAACAGAATGAATAGTCTTGCAAATTCCTGTTTTCCAAAACTCATTCAAACTTAACTAAGTAAAAAATTTTTAAAAATTATTGTAATGTCGTTTAACAGACAATAACATTTATTATTCTTACGATAACAGTGTTATTAAAATTTTTGTAGGTATAATTTTCATTTTTATAATTACCCATCTATGAGTGGAGCTGACTTGAGTGCATCGCTTCCTTTTGTGAAAATTATGTCCGAGGGCAGTTGAACTGACAAATTAACGCAGATGAGCATTACTGTGGCTAAAATTGCGCACTTTCTACCTAAGAGATTATACCAATGCATAAAATTAAAAATGTGGATATAA